TGAGTACGAGGACGAGGAGGAAGAGGTGGACGAACAGGACATCATGTGAGATGGTGGATGATTCCGAGATTCGCCTGGTTTTCGAGGTGAGAACACGCGGCTGAGAGTTGTTTAGTCTGGTGTCGATAGGGGATGGTGTGGTGTGGGTGCGTCGGAACGCCGGAGGAATCGCGAGGACCAGCTTAGGCAGGTGCGAATTTTCCGTTTATTTCCGTGAGATCAGTGAGTTCGCTCGTGATGTTCGTTCTGGATCGGAAAGATGATCGGAGGATCGTGAATTATCTTCAGGTAATTTCTTGGAATGGTTAGAACGAGATCGTTTCGATCTTTACTTCTGCAATTTTTCAGAATTTCTTGGATAGAGATGCTTTCAGGTGATCCTCTGATCGTTTTTGGATCGTTATTTTTTCGAAATTTCGTTCTGTACCGTGTCGGTACTTCTTCCTACCTCTTTTGTCAATTATGATCGCTCGAGGATTAATATCAACGATACAGTAGAATCTCCATAGTTGAAGGAGTCTGAACCACGCGCGTTTTAAGACTGAAATTCTCTTCGATCTTCAATTATTAGAATTACGAACTCGCAACTGTGGACATTCTGACCAGTCGAAAGAAACAGTAATTTCGAAAATTGTTTGTCAAATATTAAACGTCGAATTATTTCATATAGCGGACATTTCTAAAATTCTCCATTTTTCTTCTTGAAAGATATCCAATCGACACAGTACCGACGCCAGTTCGTAAATCACGAAGCATTCTCTGTAGAAGAGAAAAATGTATCGAGACGCCGATCAAGCGCCACTCGAGGCTCGTGTGACTCACTATCGCGAGGTTAGATATCCTGATCGCGATTCGAAACGTGAAAAATGATCGCGTTTTATCGTTTTGTCCGCTCGTTCCTCGTGATTTCTACTTCGCGGCTGCTCCAGAGACGTTCACTTCGAAACGCATATGTTTTTTTCTGTGATACGCGACAACCAGGCGATCCTCCGGCTGCGTGACTCTCTCTCGCCTCGAACGCTTCTGCCATTTCTCTCGTTCCTTTTCCAACGTGAAAACGAGCACGACTCGTTTCCATTTGCAATACACAGTGTGCAATTTTCCTCCTTCGTCGGAGGGGAGTTGGTCCGGAGTTTCTTCACCCTTTCAGAGACGAATGATGGATCTTGGATTCCTTTTTTCGTTTTGTCTTGTAGAATCTTTTAAAGGTTGTTTTGTTAAATGGTCGTTGGAAGTTGGAAAAGTTTGGTATAAAAGCTGGTGAAAATTTTTCATTTTAACCTTTTCCATGGTTATCGAATTAAATAGCGGAATAGTTGGAAGAATTTGGCGTGTTCGATGCTGTCGGTGTAAATTGGCCATAAAGGGGTTGGTTTTGCGTAATCGAAGCCTTCTTTCGACGTCTTTGAAGATTATCTGCGTCGAATGAAGGCGGATTTTTTTGTTTCACGAATGATAGATGAAACGTTTGTAATTCATTTGTCGAATTTTATTCGAAACATTGTTAATCAATATCAATTCAGATCTACTGTACATTCGATCATTTCGTTCGCAGCAAGTAATGTTCTATTTTATTTATATTTTTTTACGTGCGCAATATTACTTGACAAACTTTTCAAAATATCTCTTGAAAACCATCCACTCAAGTATAATTCATTCTTTTGATAATTGTTTGAGAGTGTAATCAATTGTCATATTTCGAGCTGAAGATCTGAATTTCCACTTGAATAATTTCAATTTCATAGAAATTAGACAGAAATTTTTTATATTATTCTATTTTATTTATACACATTTTAATATACACAATATTGTTTCATCAATTTTTCCAAAAGAATCCTCTTGAAAATGCACATTTATTCAAGTATAATTCATCCTTTTGGCAATTGTTCAAATTGTTCATCAGTGTCATATATACTTCGCGACGAAGATCTGAATTTCAACGTAACAATTTCAATTCGACAGAATTTCATATAAAGATACGAATTTCTTATGAAATTTCTTATGTCATCTAGCATAAACGTTGTGTTTTTAGATACCAGCAATAAATTCTGACTCACTCGTGGTGCTGCCTCGAAACAAAGAACACGAATCGACAATCGTCGGGTGATTGTTTATCGAGCAGTAGATTGTGATACTAGAAAGCGATAGGAAAGGTCTTTTTAGGATTATCTGTACCTTTCGATGATACGCGCCTCTTTCAACCGGTCGTTGATCTCGATTTTTCTGCTCTCCGACCACGGTTCCGTCACTTATCACCGTCTCTGCAATTGTACACGCGTTTACATCGGAAGGTTCGTTAATTCGACAATTAGGCTTTATCGGGATTCGAGATCTTTCGATAAGCTGACATCGTTCGGGGAATTTTGGACGGTGTGCCGCCGCCACTTCAACACTTCTTCTTTTCTTTTTTAGAAAACTAGAAGCACTGCTTTCGATATTTCGAGCGTTTATCGAAAATGTTCAAAGTGTGTAAAGAATTGTTGAAAATGTGAATGAAAATTTGAAGAACTTTGATTTTCTTTTGTGTTGGTAAAATTGCAATTTTTTCCATGGTTTTCGAGAACAGTTCGCGAATTGTAAATAATCAAACGTGGCGGATTTTGTCTGTAGCGAAAGGAACAGTAGACGATTTCTTTGTTAGTGGAAATTAAAGAATTGCTAATGTAAGTAAGAATTAAAGGTAATTAGTAATTATTTTAATATTCGATGTAAAGGAAAAGTCATGTGATAAACGTGTATATAAATGTCATTCCTTGATAGAATATAGTTGGCTTCGATTCAATTCTATATGTGCATAATCGAATTATAATTGTTCTTGTAAGATTATTTGAATTTTTCAAAAGAAATACGTATTTGCAGAGCGTTTCATTTATTTGTTTATATGTTACACTATCGTTCACTGATATAGTCAAACAGTTCGCAATCATTCCAACGTTATCATTTACTAGGTGTACAAATTAATTAGCCGTCTTTTCTCACGAACTTCAATATTTATTTACAAAAAATCACACAAAATTTTAGCGTTCAAAATAATCTCCGTTATTTTCGATCCAACTCTTTGAAAACTATATGGCGATTTTCAGGTGACGAAGTCTTAACGACTTTGAGAAAAATGGCGCCGCAAATGAATTTGTACAGTTAATGCAAAAGCTTACTATATTCAAATCGATTGAAATCATTCTCGTCGTATTGCTTTTCAACACTTGCTCAAAACGATACGTAATTTCTACTTGCAATTAGCTAACACTCCGCCATCGTCATTGTCTATTAACCGTCTACGAATCTAACGCTCCAGATCAACACTAACAATGTCAACAAAATTCCCAAGCGTGCACGAAATGATTCAAGATCCTCCGATTCATGTCTCAAAGCTGATCGAAAACCGAACAAAAAAGAAGGAAAAAAAAAAGGAGAGAGTGCCCCCGTTCGATGGCTGTCTCGAGTCGGTGTAGAGCGAAAAATGTGATAACCCGCGAGAATAAGTCTAAATTAAATGAACGTAAGGCTTGCGAGAGACGCCTGTGTAATTTCCCGCGTAGAGGTGCGCGTTCTAACGTCTGTACAGTTAATGTTATACTCGAACAACAACAACAATTATCCTACAACTACATACATACACACATACACGAAAGCAACACAAAATCGAACGATAAGATTATTCGTTCTGAAAGCGTCGGAAGCAGGACACGTCCAGTGTTTTTTTTGTATGATACGTGTAGATAGCCACACAACGTAACGAGTACGATGTACAATATTATATATGTTACAGAGAGAAAAAACGAACGAATGACATAAGTATGGCAAAGAGAGTGTGAGAGTGAGAGAATGAGAGAGAGAAACAGACAGAGAAAGAGTACACATTGTACAGCGTGTTTCAAAAGCAACGCGTGTTTCCTTGTGACGAAAAGGCAGCTGTGTGGAGCCACAACCATCAGCCCTTCGATTCACCACCTTTCGAGGGAGACTCATGGTAGGGGGTTGCTTTTGAAACACGCCCCTCCACAAAAACGCCCTGTAAATAGATGAGACGAAGCCAGGGAGCAGCGCGCATCGCGGAAGATCACCCGATCTCAAACGTTTGCGAAACAATTCGTGGGATCCGTGTGTTCTAACGTTTTCCTTCTAATCATAATCATCACAACGTACACGCACACGCGCGCGCGCGCGCGCGCACACACACAAACACACACACGTACACAGAGAGAGAGAGAGAGAGAGAGAGAGAGAAAAAAAAGAAGAAAGAAACACCAAACGTGTAAACGTTCCGTTCATTTTTAAACGACGATAACAAAGATAACAAAAAGACAGAATGAATTTCTAACCTAAAAATAAGCAAAAAAAAAAAAGAAAAGAAAAAACGAAAAAAATTCATCCGTACCTTTTCCGCTCTTCTCTCTTTCATCAAGATCAAGTAGAAATTCTATAGAGCGTGATCTTCGTCGATGGATCCTGTTAAGGCTGAAGAGCGGAGGGGAAGTGTACAAGCGCGCGGCGCCATATTGAAAAAAAATCTCGAAGTCAAAAAGGAAATCTCGTCGTCATGTTTAACGCTTTCATTGTTCCTGCGCGTTTTCCGGCATTCTCTCCCCCAAATAAGCTTGTCCACGAAATATTTCAGAATTACCCTCCCGCCCCCCCTCGAATTCACGAAACTTCCTGCCCTTCCTCTTCCACCCTCCGTGCTCCCTTCGCCAGAGAATTCACTCTAACGCTCCTTTTCTTCTGACCATCTCCCTTCTGAACATGTTCGAATCGCGCCGCTTCGAGAGATAATTTTTTCAGTGTCGTTTCCGGCCTTCCGGGGTGAAGAGAGCCGTAATCCTTTGAGAGAGTTGTTAGTTCGAAGCGATATATAGTGTACATATACATATACATGCACGCACGCGCGAGACCGGAAGCGAAGTTTCGGGCCGCCGGAGAAACGTTGCGATGCAA